GCTAGTAGGTTGGAGGTCATCGCTCTTAGGTTGGAGGCCACTGCTGGTAGGTTGGAGGCCAATCGCTCTTAGAGTGAGGTTGGAGGCCACTGCTAGTAGGTTGGAGGCCATCGCTTTTAGGTTGGAGGCCACTGCTAGTAGGTAAGAGGCCACCGCTGGTAGGTTGGAGGCCACCGCTCTTAGGTTGGAGGCCACTGCTAGTAGGTTGGAGGCCGTCGCTCTTAGGTTGGAGGCCACTGCTAGTAGGTTGGAGGCATTTGGAGGCCATTGCTCGTAGGTCGGAGGCCACTGCTAGTAGGTTGGAGGCCCGTGCTCTTAGGTTGGAGGCCACTGCTAGTAGGTTGGACGCCATCGCTCTTAGGTTGGAGGCCGCTGCTAGAAGGTTGGAGGTCATCGCTCTTAGGTTGGAGGCCACTGCTAGTAGGTTGGAGGCATTTGGAGGCCAGTGCTCTTAGGTCGGAGGCCACTGCTAGTAGGTTGGAGGCCCGTGCTCTTAGGTTGGAGGCCACTGCTAGTAGGTTGGACGCCATCGCTCTTAGGTTGGAGGCCGCTGCTAGAAGGTTGGAGGTCATCGCTCTTAGGTTGGAGGCCGCTGCTAGTAGGTTGGACGCCATCGCTCTTAGGTTGGAGGCCGCTGCTAGTAGGTTGGAGGCCAGCGCTCTTAGGTTGGAGGCCACTGCTAGTAGGTTGGAGGCCATCGCTCTCAGGTTGGAGGCCGCTGCTAGTAGGTTGGAGGCCAGCGCTCTTAGGTTGGAGGCCATTTCTAGTCGGTTGGTAGGCAAGCCGCTGGGCAGTTCCCAGGAGTCACCCCGAAGTCGCGCCCATCGAAAACTGCTGGCAGCCCTCGGAGACTTAGACGCAGATGCCTTGCATCGGGCCATTCAAGATGCAACCGCTGCGGGTGTGGATGAGGAAGGATTGGCAGCTGTTCAGGCGATTGATGTGGGGCTGTGAAACTGAAGCTTCCCATCACTTCCATACCAGAAGACCTTTTGTTTTCCTCAAACCTCCGATGAGCCAGAGCATTCCAGAGCGTCAGGTGATTCTCCAAGAGCTCCAGGCTCCTGGAGCCATTGGCACCCTGGCAGAGCGCCAGCGTGCAGCGGCCAAGCTCGAGGTCCTCGCACAAGATGGTTCTGAAACTGAACTTCAAGACACTTGCCCAAGAATGCTGAGATATTCAGATTGAGAATGTTTGGGACATTTTGGCGGATGCTTGGGGAAGGTTCAACACATTTCAGCACTTTGACTCTATGAAGCTCACAGGATAAAGACAAAAAGTGACTAAAGTGTTGCACCAACTTTTGGGAGCCGATCAACCTGAAGGAAAGCATACAATTCCCATTCAATACATGTTTTCAATTGTTTTCAGCTCCTGCCCCTTTTTGGGCGAGTGGACATCACCTTGGTCAGTTCAAAAAAGCATCTCATCCATTGGCAAGAAACCTCAACACTCAACGCATTCACTGGCGCTGGCCCATAGCAATAGCAGAAGAAAGGCGCAGAGGGACCCATTCTTACTTGCATTCTTGAGTCTTGTTTGCGAAGATTGGTTGAAAGTTGAAAGTGATTCTATTCCCTGCACCATCCTGCATCGCATCCTGCATCGCTGCAGTCACACTAGTGTTAGCAAGCATCACGTCACATACTGCACGTCGCTGCGCTGAGCTCAAAGTGCCGAATTTGAGGAAGCCATTTTGGAAGCTATTGACGTTGGGTTTCTCGGCGGCACATCCCACACCTGCGGAGTCTCATGGGTTTGTTGGAAGTGCTATTTGGCATGTGACATTGGCCACCCATGCACAGTCGACTGGGACGGATTTCCAGGGTGTTGATTCGAATACGGCGCATATGTGGATCTCTTTTGAGATGTTCCATGATTTTCAACCCATCAGCATTGCCACATTGTTACAAAGCCATTCTCCTTTGGTTCGTGACGCGTTGTGCCAACATGTGGCGATGTAGGCTGGAGGACGGCTTCGCTTTGGCGGAGGCTGCCTTGGACCGGAAGCGCTTGGAGCGGCATGAGATCATGGAGGCCTTGGTGGCCACCATGGAGGCTGCAAGAGTGGAACAATGTAAATTACTCATCGCTATTAGAATGAAGGCCATCGCTATTGGGTTGGAAACTGCAAGAATGCAAGACGAGACCATCAAAAGAGTTTTAAGAAGTGTTGCACTTTCGGATAGGCAGTCTTGTCAGCCCAAGAGACGTGTGCAATTGTCATGCGCTGCCAAACCAAGCCTTGCATGAGCGGAATGGAAAGAAGAGCATGTGGGAAAGCAGTCGTGTCGGTCCAAGACGACATAAAACACACAATGCACATGCATTCATCACGGTGGCAGATATGTTTGCCGTCCATCGACAGAATATCAACAATTACAATATTAGTATAAATCATTTTTGAATTACTTAGGCATCACAAACATTACCTTGAATCATTGATGTGAGCAACATTCAGCAAATGTCAAAGCTCGTAATCAAGAACACAGGTAACGCTCACCTTCAATGTCTGCGGAAGCGAGGGGAGCTCCCCCAAAGAGATGCCCCACTAGAATCACTAGAAAATGACCGATGAACACTCTCCCGAGTATATGTCTTTGTTTTTGTTGATTTGCACAGCCAAATTCTTCACATTTCCTTTTCTAGACGCATGTGCAACTTGAGATGCAGTGCAGTTTCGCAGTTTCCTTCAAGATTTTTGCACTCTTAGTGCCTCCTCGCACGTTTTGAACGCTGATGCTGGACACTGCACGTTGATGCCAAATGTCTCTCCTGAAGATTTGGGCTTGAGTTTGAGTTGAAATTGACCTGGCATACTTTGCAAAAGGGTTCGATCAAAACAGGGCATGCATCAGCCAACGGGACTCCGATAGTCCAAAAGAGAGTCTCTCTTTTTGAGTATATAAAAACGCAACAGCACAAGTGAAAGTTGGGTTGGGAGCACACAAGAAC